ACATTCAAATGCCACCATGACCCTGGATTAATATGATGCGTGGCGTACCCCAAAGCGAAATTGATGAAGGCCAAGCGCATCGTTTTACCAACTAAACTGTCCACCCACGTGCATATGGTGAATAATTGATCGTCGGGTGAAAGCGTTCCTGGGAACGTACATTTTGCCGGGCGTCAACGTGTTTATATTGGTCGCTGCCACTATATGGGATCATTGATGGGACTAGGCTGACGTCGCGTCAAAATGCATTTATGTTACATTTATTCGCGCCTACACCCTACACTCCTCTAACCATGGTACAGCATCGCTGTGCGAAATACATGGAGGAGGGTGGTACTGGCCGCTGGGAAGGGGGGGGGGGGCGTGCTTGACCGCTGGGTAGGGGGGGTATTTGGTCGTTGCTGGGAGGAGGGGAATCGCATGTGTCTTGAGAGAAATCCTGGAGGAGGGGAATCGCATGTGTCTTTGAGAGAAATTCGCCGCGTTGGGAAAAAATTTCTCCTAGTTGTTGACTTTTCGCGGGTTTTTCCCTTTCACATTTGCTATATAGACAGGGGGGGGGGCAAAAAAAGTCACTTCGACCGAGTCACATATCAGCAAAGTTTTCGCTGCCCAGACAGAGACGTGGATACGAGTACCAGGGCGGAAGATACCCAAGATGTTCCTCTATAAGCAGGAGCTGGCTCTCGCATCACCTTCATGTACACCAAAATATGAAGTCATCTCCAGTCGCAGCCTGACTGGAGAAGACCTTCCAAATCGCTGTGCAAAACTTCTAGTATGGAGTCACCCATGGATAGCTACCTGGAGACCAGTACTCTCGATCTGGATGACCTCCAACATCGAGCAGCTCCGACAACGTCGCCACGGTCTAGGACATCATCTTCAGTCGCCAAGGCGCGGGTTGATGGTATGGACCGGACGTACCTGGAATGGAAAGACCAATATTTTCTTCGTGGACCCGGACTGAAGGTGAGCGCTGGCGGTTACATTGGGCAACTCGTGAAGAATATCCTCCTCACATGTGGTCGCCCGTACCTTCTTGGAAACTTTGTACTGCTACAGCATTGAGTGCCACATGAAATCGAAGGGCGTTGGAGAAACACTCGCCTACTTGGAATGGAAGGGGCTGAGTACCTAAAGAAGATGGAATATCCAAGTAGGTCACCTGACCTGAATCCCCTCAATTACCCGGTTCGGGCGGAGTTCAATAGGGTGGTCTACGGTGGCGGAGAAATCGACTATCTCGCTGATCTCAGGCACCACATCGCGGATCTCAGGCACCACATCGCGGTCGCGTGCCAGAATCTCTCGATGGCGCTCGTCCAGAAGGCTGTGGCGGAGTGTCATGATAGTATTTGATATGCTCTTTAATATGGTGGTAAAAATGTCCGATCAGAATTTCAATAAAGTGTAACTTATAGCGCCTCGAAAGTCATGAAGAAAAGTGACTTTTTTGCCCCCCCCCTGCATTTACCCCTAGCATATACCTCCCAGCTGGTGGTGCCCCGCTCGACGGAAAATTTCTGGGTGAAAAGTAGCAAATTCTCGGGAAGTTTAGTAAAAAAACTGGTGGGCAGCCGGGAACATGTAAGGTGGGAAGGGAAAGTGTTGGGGAAGGCGGATCGTACCGAGAAAGGGGTTCTACTGAGAGGGGATGTCGCATTGAGACCCTCTTTCAGACACCACCATTTCCCACGTCACGATGCCGTACCCCGCCTCTAACCACTCTACCAATCTCATTATCACAAGCTCATGAATACGACTACATCAATAGATCGTGGAGGTACAATCATTACTCCAATCAAGGTACTGTAAACAAATCAAAAACGCCGGTTTAAAAGTAATTTTTATCGGGAATCGGCAGAAAAGCATTGATAAAGGTATCAAAGCTAAAAATAATGCTATGATATCTGGAGTGAATACGTAGTAGAAGTCAGAAAATAACCAAAAATAGAAATGATCATGCCAACATTGAGTGATCTAGTAAGTTAGTTAATCAGTGACACGTTGATTGTTATTCAGGCAAAAAAAAACACAACTAAATTGCGACGGCGGACTTCCTAAAAGGGAGCGACGGTGGTGGAGGGGATGTCGCGCGAGCGTTTCTGTGTCTATAGCCGAAATCGAAGACGAAGAAGAAGAAAACAGAGAACCGCAAAAAAAAGGAAAATGAGTGAAACCTCATATAACATAATTTATAATTGTAAAACAGGGTCGACCACTGAGATGGGGGGAGTGGGGTGAACCACATTATGATAGCATTTCCAGGCCATGATTCAATCTTAATCTTTGGCGACATGATGCTGATACAACAAGACGCAAGCACGTACGTAAATGAATGTACCGGTAGTCTACCTTAAAACGGTCGGCACCGGCGTGAAAAAAACGTAAGAAAAAAGGAGGGAAAAAATTATGGGAGCTCGGTGAAAGTTAGGCGTATTGTGGCGCTGCTCATGCATAAATGGACCTAGATCGGTTGCTTTCAACTGCTATACACATTCTACGGACAGGAAAGACCGAGTTGGGAGGTGTAAATGAGATGAGATTTCTTGTTGCTGTGAACAGCTTCGGATGACAAACGATTCTAGCGTTGCAAAACCTCACCCATACCTCACCTTCACATATAATGCATTAGGTAGAAATTGGGTCCTACGTGCATATCGCGGGATAATCTAGGGGGAAAAGAACGAATGCAGATGAATGCTGATACATATTGAACGCCTAGTTGCTCTCAAATGTTACCAATCGTACTAACATCGTGCAATCAATACGAATTGCAGCAAATAGAAAATCTAATAATTACTATAAACAATTAAATCAATGAAATATTTGAGACAATTTTCAGGAGATGGTATTGAAGAGAAACTTCAACTATGCACAGCACAGCTGACGAGCGTTGTTCCGCGTTTACAGTGCCGTATTGTTCGATCCTCCACCTTTGATGTTACCGCGAGAAGCCGAGCGTGCTAAATATCAATAGTAAAGAGAATGGAAAAATTTTCTGTGAAAGGGGGAGAAACTTCAATCTTCCTGGACCACCTTAGCGTGATTTCCTTTGATGGGGGACAAAAAATTCAATCTACTCTAGCAAAGGACTGCGCGGATAGCACTGGGTTGAACAATGTGTCATGGATTTTTCCCAAATCAAAGGCAAAGTCCGCGATCATTCACCATCACAGAAAGTGAATTGAGGGTTTATGTAGACGACAACGTTCTGACAAGGGAATGGTTTGAACTTCCCATGGAACTTTGAATGGAGACCTAGGTACATCGATAGAGCCTCGAATGCTGATTACGAATATGCAGATTAAAAGTGCTACGGGGACCTCCCAGACGAGATCTGGGTGGTCAAAGTTTGAGTTCTGGCTCGTAAGCGCTGCTGATCGATGCCTCGGCAGTGCCACCGTGGCCTCGTGGTAATGGTCTCGCTTTCAAGTCAAAACGCATGCGGGTTTGCATCCGGTTGGCGCGAAAATTTTTGCTTCGCTCCGTATAAGAGCTTTTCTAATTTTCGAAATTCTTCCGAATTTACGGCCCAGCAGGGCAAGTAGATCAAGTACATCAAGTATACGACGTACTCGATCTAGTATGGATTTGGTCATATCTGCCCTCTCTGAACATATTACCCATCCGACAATTCAAAGTTTTGCCCAGAATCGCAATTTGGCCAGACGAGCGTTTTTTCGTCGAAGGAAGTGATATTCGTGTTCAGGGGGTCGAAATCTCCCATGAACGAATTTCTCGCTAAAACTTTGAATTGTCGGATGGGTAATATGTTCAGAGAGGGCAGATATGACCAAATCCATACTAGATCGAGTACGTATACTTGATGTACTTGATCTACTTGCCCTGCTGGGCCGTAAATTCGGAAGAATTTCGAAAATTAGAGTTGAAGCTCTTATACGGGAGCGAAGCAAAAATTTTCGCGCCAACCGGATGCAAACCCGCATGCGTTTGACTTGAAAGCGAGACCATTACCACGAGGCCACGGTGGCACTGCCGAGGCATCGATCAGCAGCGCTTACGAGCCAGAACTCAAACTTTGACCCCAGATCTCGTCTGGGAGGTCCCCGTAGCACTTTTAATCTGCATATTCGTAATCAGCATTCGAGGCTCTATCGATGTACCTAGGTCTCCATTCAAAGTTCCATGGGAAGTTCAAACCATTCCCTTGTGAGTAACGTGATAGAGAATAGGAAAAAAAAACAGAAAAAAGCAGGCCAACTGCCCTAGATAGCACCCCATTCCAGTCCCATTCCCTGCGTACCCAATTAACTCCATCTCTACCACTACACCCTCATCCGCCCAGCTGATCCCCGATAAGAACTCTACGACCGTACAAGTGACGATTTTCATGCTTTTTCGTCCTGCAGCTTCGTTTTTCACTGAAAGGCGGGCCTTGAAGGCGGAGTCTGGAGGCGGAGTCACTGGAAAAAAGGAAGCGTCACTGAAGCTATTACGCCATACCGTCCCTCCCTTACAATTTCTTGCTGCGAAACCGGTACAAGGTTGTTCATTGCGGACCACACAAAGCTCTCGACGCCAGCTTTATAGGACACAGTACATACTAATTTGCGTAGTTAAAAGGCAGTCTGGCGTTTAAAATGGTGGGGTGCGGCTCAAATAGTAATAAAAAGATGGTAAACAGTACAAAAGTGACGACAAAGGCAGGAGGGACCCGCCCGATATGTCCCATTTGGAACCCCACGCTGAACCGCGTTCTTACGTGCATAAGGCAAAGCAGGGGCGAGGATGGACGAGTTTCCACTTGATGGGACCAGCTCTTTCCCATTATCCACTCTCACTATTCAAAATGGCGAGATTTAGTAGCGAAAGAACCGAAGCACCAGTTTGCATCTTCCGCTGCTTGAGCCCCTCGATTCAACCAAAAAAAGAATGCCTCCGCATAGAGCACGAAATTCCCCACCAAGCAGTACAATAAACGTAAGACAAAACACCCTGAATTCCACACTAAATTTTCACCCTGAAAACAACAGTCAGCTTACACCGTCCAAGGCCAGTTTTGGCGCCGGCGCAGTCAGTGCATATGTACAACGCGTTTTCTGGCTGAGCGACTGTAATATTCCTGTCTAAGGGTTCACTGCCCTGAGGATAAATTTTCAGCAAAGCTGATGATGCTTGTGTCTTAGCGCGGGATTCGTAGCACCTAACATTTCCGCGCTAAACATAAGCGATGTTCATGTTCGATAATCAGACTCCCTCGTGGACGAACTTACAGCGAAATCTACCCGCTGGGGCAAATTTGGATCAAAACTTGGGCGGAGTGACCTACCACGCCAAACGGAACGAAGGCTTCTGAAAGATGCTCACTCTTGGAAAGGTTAAACTGAGCAGCAAAAATGAGGATTTTATGCGGATCCGCTCTTTTCTTACCCGTGTAATTCTACCCATAATCTCACAGAGGAGCTTGAAAGACACAAACAAGCTCAGAGCCTAGCGATATTTTACGTTTTTTTTCCACTTGTGGATCAATCAGAGGCAGAGCTGGTCTAGCGGCGAGTGGCACGCTCCGTTCTCAAATCCCGTATTGGCTAATATCCAAGCAAGCTATATCGCTTTCCCTCCGGGACGGTAAAATGGTAGTTAATTCGTCTGGGAAGCTACGAACACTGACTTGTACATCGGCTGGCCCCTACAGATACTGTATAGGCCATATCGCATTTGATAGCCACAACGATTTTGAACGGAACTGGAATGTGTGTCCAAAAAAGGAATGATTAACGGCGAAAGATTCTTCAAGAGTCCAAAAAAATAAAGATTTAGACAGCCTTACTTCGCGCCTCGCTTTCCGTTTGGAGTCTCAGTTGTCGACTGATTTCTCGAAGTCGTGCCGCTGATGTTCCCGTCAAACTCGGCTCCCTTCTATCCAAGCCAGCTTGGAACGCTTTCACGACTCGAATCTAAAAACGAGAAAACCCACTGCAGACCAAGTTCGTTGGTTTAGTTGCACGACTTCGTGCTTGTGCGCGAAGTACAAAGCAGCAGCCGCCTCGCCACATAGGACTGACACGTACACGGTCACCATCAACAAAATTTCAAGCCACACGAAGAAAAGCCGTTAAGAGTTTTAGTAGCGCCTGCTGCTCAACGCTTGCACGCACATCACAACCGTCGCCGCTCACATTGCAAACGTAGGAGAAAATGCTGCTCAAACAAAGGTTCCGAGGAACATATAGTATAGAGATGTGTATGGATCATTTATATTTGTACAGTAAGCCCTAATCTCTATACAAATGTTCATCACAACTATAGAACGACCGCCCACACACTATCCGAGAGACACGCTACGGTAGGCTCGGATTGAGTACGGAAGCCACTAGCAGTAACACCTCACAACACGGCATCCTGATTAGTAAAGGGAATTTAAAATCATGATTAGAAAATAGTTTGAAGTCAAAGAGAACAAGAGTGTTGGAAGGGAGAGAGAGATCAAGACATATAAGGAAAAAGGAGGAATGTTGGTGATAATCACTCCAAATTGAGCAGGAATACACAACACCTACTCTAAATGGGTAGTAACACCACATGCCGTCACAACAGTTTTGGATAAGCCACGAATAAGGACTCCACTAAGTAAGTCCTTACACCAATTGCTACGGTACCAACACCAACACCACACACGCACACTTCTACACACGAACACGTAGCTACGAGCCGCCGCCAATGCGAATCACGCTGCAGCCTGTTGAGCGCGCGTTCGCTGTCCTTCGAGGTATGAGCGAAATGATAATAGTGAAATCGACTAGAGGAAAGCTGAAAATTACACCATTTTGAAATCTACACCACAGGCAAATACTCCGGAATCACTACAGAACGGGTGTGTGGCGATTCTATCGTCGATGATAAGTGGGTCACCGCGCTGGTGAGAAAGCCAGCGGCGTAGCGGCCGCCGCGTACGAGTTCTGTTGCTTCGCGGCTCGTTCGAATTGTTGAGTTCTCGCCGTTCACGATGGGGTGCATGTCGAAAAAATCACATGACAACCCTCGTGCCTGTGCCAGAAATAAGAAAGATTCTATCAAAATATTTGCATAAGGCAAAAACGTTAAAAATGTTGACGTTCAGTGAATACCAGGTAGAAACTATGTAGAATACGTTTCCAAAGCGAAGGTAGCGAGTATAATGAATGATAGGTGCTGCTATAGTACAGAAACTAGTTGAGGTCGAACCAGCAATTCATCTCAAAGTGTTAGTAGGACGCCGTGAAACAATGCCAATCCTTCAAATCCACGATCGCAGCGCCGCGTCGCCGCCTCGCGAGGGCTCGCCGTGACGCAGAACCGCGCAACAGCTGGACGCGATCGGTCAGCTGCAAGAAAGCTTAAAATGGTAGTAAAAAGGCTAACCTTGATATCGTTTTGCATTAAGAATATACACTGCTCCACATAATGATAGTTCCACCCATAAATATTACAAAATCCCGTCTTACATGAGGTTTTCAAAAATGTCCTCAAATAGAAAATGAGGTAATAATCAATACCAGTTTGCATGTCAACACCGGAAACTAACTTGAAAGAACAAGTTTTTTTTGTTCATTTTTTCAAAAATTGGTATCTGACAATTCCACAAAATGACAGTTCAAACAAGTCGATCATACAACAAAAGTGCACAACAAAACGAATGAATTGTTAATTTAGTAATCTACTGGAGCTCCATTTCTCCGAATAAGTTGGAAAATGCGGTTGTCCATGCTCGAATAGAGGTTTTCAATAAGCTTTCGGTCGACATGGTGCCATGCATCAATGATTGACTCCTTAAGCTCACGGACATCGTGGAATCGTGCATTGTTCGCATAGATCTTGCGCACCATGAAGCCCCACACATTCTCGATTGGGTTAAGTCGGGGCTATGTGCTGGCCAGGGCAAAAGAGCGATTTGATGACGACTGAACCACTCTCGAGTGCTTCGACTGGCATGAATTGGTGCATTATCATGCACGAAAACGAGGTCTTCTTGCCGATTTCTACGCCAGAAAGGAGGAGACCTCGTCGCATGACATTCAGATAATCGGAAGACTTCATTTTCTTCGAAACGAAACATTTCAGACGTCCCGTTGATGTGATGGCAGCCCAGACCATAATACCACCTCCTCTGAAGTTCCGCCTGGAAAAATGAAGCTTCTCTTTCCTAAGATCGTGCCAGTAGGACCGATTTCCGTCTGGACCGTCGCAGTTGAAATTTTTCTCATCAGCAAACACGACCTGAAGAAAAAAAAACTGAAAAGGCAAGACAGACAAGCAGTAGGGCACCGCTGCCATAAGCTAACCTTACTCCAATCGGTTCGGCAACATCTCCTAGCAAAGTCGATTCGGTTTTCACGATGCCTTTCTGTCAGAAACGGTGCCTTCCACATTTTTCTGTTAAGAATGAACTCGGACTTTCTCAAGACACGCCGAACAGCTTCTAAGACGTTGAGCTTCAAAGTTGACTTTATTTCCCGGCACGACATTGGAGAATTGATGCTTCTCTCAAAATACGGCGCTTATCCCGATCAGAGAGCAAAGGAGGACGCCCAGAGCTCTTCTTAATTCCATATCCTGCAGGTTGCTTGACAAAATTGTTGATCACATGATGACTGCGGCCCAAATCCCGTGCGATTTGACGGTTCGACAGTCCTTGAGTCTTCTTTGCGATTATCTGTCCTTTTTCAGGGTCCGATAATGATGTCCTCTTGCCTATAGCCTAGAAAAGGCAAAGAGTCACAATGATGAGACAGTTTTACCCAACAAAAATGAGACGCAGCGACAAAACATGAGGTGGAACTATCATTTTGTGGAATTGTCAGAGTACCAATTTTCAAAAAAATGAACAAAAAAAACTTGTTCTTTCAAGTTAGCCGGTGTTGGCATGCAAACTGGTATTGATTATTACCTCATTTTCTATTTGGGGACATTTTTGAAAACCTCATGTAAGACGGGATTTTGTAATATTTATGGGTGGAACTATCATTATGTGGAGCAGTGTATTCTAGACCGCTGCCTATGGAGGGGCGTGCCAGGAGTGCGCGACGGCATCAAACCCGTTCTCTGCCAGTTGTTGGAGGGGGTATACGACAGCAGTTGGAAGACAATCATATGAGTGATAATAATGATAGCCAGCCAGCAGCCTTGTCACTTGCTCACTTTAACAGCTGGTAGAGAACCGGTTTAGCACGGCGCCAAACTCATCCTGCCTGACACATCCCTTCTTCCGCAGCGAGCTGGACTGCGGTAGGATACTTGTACTTTAGCAGACTTTCATTAGATTCGCAGCACTTATAACCTGTGGAGAGGGAGCAAAGCTAAGCTTGACAGCAATTTACACGAGTTGCAGGGTGAGACACGACTGTCCAGTATTCGCATGTACACAGTTAACACGATTTAACAAGCTTGTATGCTGACATGATGTCCCCTCCCCTCCCCCCCCCCTTTCCTCAAGGTTACAGCGCTCATTTATCCAATCATCGAACAAGCATCAAAACCTTCACTCAGATGTTTCCTTTAAACAAGCGACCGAGAGGGGCAAATCTCTGGTGTTCGAAAAAAGCCCTTACCGCATTACAATTGTGAGTGATTAGTGAGTGGAGGTCTGCACGATCCCACAATGTGCTATAAATATGCGACGTTTGGAGGGCGTGTGTCTACGGACCTAGATGCCAGCGGGCGCGATCCCGGAGCATTAGTACAATAGAAACGGCAATGGCATACACAATAAAGCATGGTCACCTTGCAGTTTCTGCTTCAAACTAGCAACACCTAACATTTTCGTAACTGCTGCCGCGTTCACAATTTGATCCCCAGACACGCCTTCTCCAAATTCCACGATATGGATGTGAACTCTACAGTTTGAGTGCGGGGATGGAAGACGAAAGGTAACCAAATTTCACAATTATGCTCAACGCCATACTGTACGATTATCTGATGTGGATCGTTAGTGGTTCAAAATGGATTAGAACCAAAGAAAGTCCCACTTTTCCTCTCGAAAATGTGTGGCAGTGGACTTGTGGAAAGAAAATACCCCCGCCGTTTGACACAGGGAACGTCGCTTCACGTCCCATACGACTAGCCATACATGCTAGTTGCTGGTGCTTATCGTTGTAGTGTGTCTTCTAGCCGTTACAAGAACTGCTCTATTAGACCAACGTCTCAGCGCTTCGCCTCCGTCAGAGCCTGAAATGGACAAAAAACACATGAGACCTCCCCACTCACGCCTCAGCAATACCCAAGACGATTTCACTAACCAGATAAGCAGCGGTATAGCCCAGACATATGGCTCACCTTGATCGTAGCCGCGACAGTGGGGCTCGACCTCCCCGAGGTTGACTTGAATGTGAAGTAATCAATACCTTTCAAACGAAATACTTTCAGAGATCGAGAAAAGGCGTGAGCTCGCGGGTCACAGCCACATGCTATTTCTTTCTATTCATTTCAGGGTCCTTGGCAGTCGGAGGGTGTAAATGGTGATGATTACTTCACATCCAAACCAACCTCGGAGTGATCGAGCCCGCACTGTGGCGGACGAGATCAAGGTGAGTCATATGTCTCACGATCGATACCGTTGGGTACTCTACGGTTAGAGAAATTGTCTTGGGGATTGTTGAGGCGTTTGCGCGGGCAGGTCTCACATGTTTTTTTTTGTCCATCCTGTCTCTGTCTTTCAGGCTCTGATGAAGCCGAAGGTGCTGAAACTTGGCCAATTAAAGCAATTCAACATCGTGAAGGCTTGAAGGCGCACTACACCAGTAATCATCATGCCAAGATTGCTAGGAAGTAGAACACGGACTGTTCTCAAACATGCTGGTGCCTCGAACGTATGGCTATGGCTCCATTGTTTCCTGTAGGTAGACTTCACGACCTCTTGCTCACGTATCGTGACGAACTGACAGGATGTCGATATCACGCATTAATCGGGAATCAGACTTCGCGATGGCACGCATCAACGCGCAACGACGCGCCACCATTGCAATAGCCCCCCAATGCTGGACGGGAATACAACCATAGACAGCTATGATCGGTGCCGGGCGCTATTGTTTTGAGAGAGTATAGCAG